GCTGCATTTTTTTACACTAGGCAAGTGGTCACTCATACACCACAAGTAAACATCCTAATTGTCCAGCCATCTGCAAAACCCTCACCCCACAGGCAATGGGCAGAGTTGCATCTTGCCATCCACAATCTTGAAAGATTCAAGAGCAGCCCCTTAGTGAAAAGGGAGCTGTGAATTACCCTACACAAAGGCTCTAAAACCTGGGTGCACCTTAGCTCCCTAGGGGAGCTGTTTAAAAAATGCAGCCATCTGCCCTCACCCAGAAACTGGTTCAGCTCTCCTGCAGAGTAGTCCAAACATCTGCGGTTTTTAAAGCTCTCCATTGAGGCAAAGCTCAGTAGAGTTTGGGAACCACTGATATAGCCCAAAGGTTAAGATGAAGAGCTTTAGGGGCAGGAGGCTTTAGCTCAAGATAAATGCTGCCATTTACTCTGTGTGGCTCTGCACAAGCCATTCCCCCTCTGAGCACATTTTCCTGCAACATGGTGGTGGAGTGAGCATAGAACCAGGTAGTGGCTGTCAAACACTGGCAGTGAGGAAGGGCTCTGCAAGAGCTGCAGGAATCATCTGCAGTTGAGACAGGTTAAAAGAGGGCCTGAAGCTGGGTAGGCTCTGTAGTTACACACTGAAACACTGATGTTCAGGCATGAAACTTCATTTTGCACCCATCTGTGGGATCTGTATTCCTGGGTACAACCAGCTCCCATTCTTCTGTGTTTCAGCACAATGGCCTTAAAGTTTGTTTCTGAAAGGGAAAGGACCATGCACTTTTAAGAATATGGTTCTAAGCCGGGCATGGTGCTGCACGCTTTTAATCCCAGCACTTGGGAGGCAGAGGCAGGTGGATCTTTATGAGTTCAAGGCCAGCCTGGTCTACATAGCGAGTTCTAGGACAGCTGGGGCTACAAGGAGAGCCTGCCTCAAAAAGACAAAAAAAAAAAAAGAATACGGTTCTAGAAATTGGGCTCTATGCAGATAATCCCAGCTCCAGGCTCATAGCAGGTACACACCCCCTTTCATTAATCCCATTATAGCCCCAAGTGCATGCTGAGCTCCCAGCTCCCATAAAAAGGGCTGCTCTGAGGAAGGCTCTTCTCAGGAGTGTTGCGTGATGGCCTAGCAATTCAGCCGTCCCAAAAGCTGCAGGCACAAATCTCCACCATCGGGGCTGAAGGGAGCCACAAAGTGCCAGGAAATAATCTCTGCTAAAACCAACCATCCAGGAGCTGCCCCCAAATCCCTTCTCCTGCTTGGGCAGTCTTGTCCTGGGGTTGTAGAAAACAGGCAGTCTGCAATTAAAAGAGGAATCTGAAGTTGGCATTACTTATCTCTAATTCAAAGAAAAAGAAGAGGTGTCTCAGGCTGGTGTCCAGCAGTGCCCTAGAGGGCTGGGAAGGGAAGGATGGAGGGACAGGCTTGAACAGCCTATCCTTGCTTCACTTTTGAGGTCTCCATCCTCCCCTGGATTAAAGGCCTGCTTGTTTGCTGCTGTGATGCAGTGAGGAGGACTGACCTAGACTTGGTATTCATTAACCTCTTCAGACCAGCCAGGGTCATTTGAGGGGCAGCACTGTGGATCTAGCTGGCTTCAGAGGTGTGTGTGTGTACAAACAGTAGGGAGAAGATGGGAGAGCATTATTTTCATAGTCCTTTAAAAGCCCAATATCTTGGGGCTGGCGAGATGGCTCAGCGCTTAAGAGCACTGACTGCTCTTGCAGAGGACCTGGGTTCGATTCCCAGCACCCACATGGCAGCTACAACCCATCCTTAACTCCAGTTCCAGGGGAACCCAAAGCCCTCTTCTGATCTCCGTGGCATTGCAGGACATGGGTGCGCTCACATACATGTAGGCAATACACTTGTACACACAAAATAAAAATAATAAAGTATTTTTTTTAAAAAGCCCAACATCTCTTGCTGCAGTGCTGATCATGCCATATGCAACCCAACTAGAGGCAGAATTTTAAAGGGCTGCCACAAGCCCTTCCTGTCCTCTGTGCAGCTGTGGAACAGCTGTGGAATCTGAGTCTAGAGGTAGATGATGCACTCTGAGTGCTTCAGGGAAGGTAGAGAAAGAAGTGGAAGAAAGCTGGGAGGGTGGTGCATACCTGTAATCCCAGCACTTGGGGAGGCTAAGGAAGGAGGATCTTGAGGTCAAGGTCATCCTGGAATACACAATGAGACCCTGCCTCAAAAACAAAACAAAATAAAAAAGGGAAAGCTGAGCTGTGTTTGTTAAGCACATTTAACATTTGAAATTCTTGGCTATGCACTTTACATAAATACTATTTCTAAATTTCTCCAAGCCTCCTAAAGTCACAGTTACTAAAAGGTGGAGCTAAGATTCACACCCAAATGTTTCTGACAATCCCAGTTTATTTAGTAATTTTACAGTCCTTAAGCCAGTAAACATCAAAACCCTGATAATATCCATTGCAGTTACATGAGACATAACTCTAGTCTCCAGATATAATGGCCCGCAAGTCCCCGATGTCTACAAGTTCAGCCAGTGCTCACATTCAGTGACACCCTCCCCACTCTTTGAACTTGAGCTTGGGACCCATGTTAAATGAGGCAGAAGTAATATTGTTAGGGTTCCTGTCCAGGCCTTAAATGGAGCAGTCTCTCATGCTTCCCCCCTCTGAGAAGCCAGCTACCATGCTGTAGGCTCAGATCACTGAAGGAGAGAGGGGTGAGAAACCACTGTGGACTGTCCAGCCCAGGCCAGCTGCTAGCAGTCAAGTGAGTGACCCCAGCTAACATCAGAGGGAAAGCCACCTCGCTCAGCCCAGTCAGTCCACAGAGCCATGAAAGATGACAAATCACCATTTGAAGTCAAGTTTTCATACAACAATAAATCACATAAATCAGGAGGAGAAAATGCAGTGTGACACATATGTCATTGCAGTGCAGGGACAACCCTCTCTGGCTGCATCCCACACCCTGTGCTCTATCTTTACCACCACGTACGGCTCAACTGTGGCTGAATGAAGTGCACGGAGTTTACCTGAGACCTGACAAGCCTGAAATATGGAAGCAAAATAGGCAAAGCAGAAAAAAAATATACAGATTTTCATTGGTCTGTTTGTTTGAGACAGGGTCTCATGTAGCTCAAGCTAGCCTCAAACTCGCTATGTAGCTGCAAATGACCTTGAACTTCTGATTCTCCTGACTCCACCTCCCAAGTGCTGAGATTACACCTGTGCACCACCACACCCTGTTTATGTGGTGCTGAAGATCAAACCCAGGGCCTTAAGCATGTTAGGCACTATATCAACTGAGCTACGGCCTCAGGCCAAAGGGTACAGATTCTAAAGGGGCCCTTTGCACATGGTTCCAGCAACACGTTGTGCAGCTGAAAACAAAAGCAGGCTCTTCAGGTGGGTTGATGGGAAGAAGAGCAAGAAACTGTTCTCTGATAAGACACAAATCAGACCGGTAACCCAGTAGGAAAATGAGCAAAGAATACAAAGAGGTGAGTCCCCAGCGTGCACACTCAGATCACTGGATGAAGGAAAAGATGCCCAAAGCTGCCAGAAGTCAGAAAAATACAAGCTAAGAAATAATAAGCTATCGTTTACTGCTCAAAACCACTGATAATACCTGGTTCTAGAAAAGCTCTGGGGAAAGGGGCAACCCTTGTAAGTTGCTATGGAAACATGAATTGTTACCCCTGTAGACATAAAATCTTGTGATATCAATCAAAACATGGGAAGTATATGAGGGCGTATGTTCAGGGATGTTTCTTGCAGGTATGATTCACAGCAAGAGCTGGAAGTGGAGTGACCACTAACTGATAAGGGAACAACTAAATAAACTGCATCCAAATTGGGATGTTTTGCAGCTACTCAAAGGAACAAATTAATCACAAGTGACTTGGAGGGTTTTCCACAAGGCACTAATGACAAAAGCATAATGCATTAAAATGTGTAGGAAACAACGACAAACCCTGTGTCTATACATTTGTTGATATTCATGCTTGGATATATACAGCTCCTCATGGGTGTGTAGGCCAACACAAGTACATGCAAAGAAAATGTGGGGGTGGGTGTGGTGGAACACTCCTTTAATCTCAGCACTCTGGAGGCACAGACAAGCAGGTCTCTGTGAGATGGAGGCCAGCCTGGTCTACATAGCAAGTTCCAGGCCAATTGAGGCTACACAGAGATCCTGACTCCAAAAACAACCAAAATACAGATTATTCCTTTGCTTTGTAGTTAAAATACAGATTATTCCTTTTCCTCTGAACAGGAAAAGCTACTCTGAAAGTGAGATGTTTCTAGGGATTGTCAGGTAGAAGCTCTTAAGATGGGTAGACCTTGGGCCTCTGAGCCTTCACACATAGAGTCCATGAGGGTATTTCTGGGCAGGCTTTGGACTGCCCACAAGCAGTCAGCCATTTCCCAAGCCCATACCTGGGCATCCAGGGTCTCTAGTCTATATCATCTCCCAGCCCCACCACAGAGCTCCTGTCCTTCCTTGTCTCTCCTTCTCAGAGACATCTAGTTCCCCAAGTCTTGTCCTTTCTCTTTTTAGACCTTTAATGCACAAGTCAAGCACCAGACATAAAACTATAACCCAGGGGGCAGAGTTTCCGAGCAGTCCCCAGGCAACAAACATAGCCCTTTCATCTTTTTCTCTGCTCCTTCCATCCTCTCCTCTGGCAGCAACCCAGCCCCACTTCAGCGAAGGAAGTACTACCCCATGCCTACCGCTGGCCATGAGCCTGTCCAGCTCAGCTGCTGACACAGCAGGTTCCAGAAGAGACAGACACCCAAAGCCAGGGCCCAGGGAGGGGCACAGTGGTACTAACAGATGGGCATAGGTCTCCTTTGGAAGTGATGATAAAGGTCTGGAACTAGATGGGGATGGTACACCACATGGTTAGTGTACCTGACACCACTACATGGTACACCAAATGGCTAAAAGGTTACCTGCACTTTGCCACAACCAGAAAAAATAAGAAAGTTCTTAAAGCCCTGGCAGAGCCTCGTATACATTACCCTTTCTAGCCACCTGGCTGCTGGTATTGGAGGCTGTAGTATTCGACCACCTCACAGATGGCTCCTCAAGCCCACCTGAAGGAAAAGAAAAGAGCGGTAAGGACACATCTTCACAGGAGCATCAAAGATGAAGGAGCAGACCTGGCCACCTGGGGGACAGTCAGGCACCATGATCAGTAAGGATTTGGTCAACTAAGGTTTATGGGGCCAATAAACTCCTCTTTTTTATATCCACACACACCATTCACAAGTTAAGAAGACTACTACCTTCCTTAGTTAAGGGCACTCAGAATGGAATTCCCAGTCAGGGGAGTCCCAGGTCAGTTCCTCATCCACCTCAAGAAGACTGAATCAAGGAGAAGCAGGTGGGGTACAGCATACTTGATGAGTTCTGTCATTGGGGCCCTGCAGTTCTGTGATTTCTCTAGGCAGTCTGGTTTCTCCATGGCAAAGAATTTCTTTTAGGAAACTGCTGGGTTTCCTTAATAAACTGGACTCTACAGACACCACCCAGCAAGGACAGTGAGGCTCACATGTGTTTGCGGGCGATCATTACCTACACACCCTGTTAGTATTCACCTCCACCAGGAGGATGTCAATTATAAGTAGTAACCCGCCTGGCTGCATTCTGGGTTTAAGTCCAGGAACCATTACGGTCCACCATGAACCAGACAGAGCTCGTGCCTCAGCCCTTGTATACTCTAAACAGAGCTGGGCATAAACAGAGAAAGAAAGCTGCAGGTTCTCCAAAGACCAAATCCAGCCTGAGGTACGTAGAGGCAGAGCTGACAGGAGGGGTTGGTGGCTTCAGTGGGAGACTGAGAGGGGTTACCAGTGAGCAGATCTGTGTCCAGAACAGACAATGATTGTGAAACCACATCAAACCCCCATAGGACAACCTATTGACAAACAGGAAAATATTTCTTATATTTGCTGAGAAACTTGAAGCTTGAAAAACAATTTCTCCATATCCCTTTTGGCCCCCCACTAGAACACTCTGGGGTAGGTGGAATGTAGCCTCATTTTATAAAAAGTAAAGGCTGAGATAGATGCTGATCAGCCCAGGGTGGCCTGGCTCAGGACACCATCTCCTGGGCAGAGTTCCATGAGCTTTTCTATGCCATGCACTGCTGAATGCTCACATTTGGCACCATACTGTCCAACACAGAGCCTTGTCCAGGGCCTGGACACCACTGAAAGCAGCACATGGCCCCAGGAGCACTCCCGAGTGGCAGTCTGCCTGGTTCCCTGCTGTGACTCTGCCTGGCAGGTGGAGCCACAGGTGCCCTGGCCTCCTGTGGAGAAAGAAGTCCCCACACCAGGCAGCGGACAGGCGTTCCTCATTGCATCCTGCTTGTTCCATTGCAGGGCTGGCCAGCTCAGAATGCACTCACACACTCCTTGCAGCTGCCGGGGCCTGCACTGCCAGCTCCTGGCCCTCGGGTATTCTTCCAGTTGTAATATCATTTCCTCTTGGGCTAAAGGTCAGGAAAAATCCTGATGGTATGAAGTCGTTCTGCTGCACAGGAATGTGCCATCTGCAGAGGGAAGCAGACTACCCAGGCTCTGGGTCCAGCTCAGCCTCCGCCTCACAGGCTGTGCAACTGCTGCCGAGAACCTGGGCGTTAGCATCTTTCATCTGTCAAATGGGCTGTTGTGAAGAGCAAATGAGGTAATGGGTTTGTTTAGGCATGTGTTCATTCAGAAAATATTTACCCAGCACCTGCTACGTGCCAGATTCGGTTTCTGCTGCTGGGGAGGTAACACTGAATAGCTCTACCCTGACCTCAGGAAATTATATTCTGACAGAGGGGAGGAAGAACACAATAACAGATAGGAAGTGAAGTGTTTAAATTGGCTGTTGTAAGTACTATGGAGACAGTCAGGGAGGCTGATGAGAATAGGGGATGCTAGGATTTGGGGGTGCCAGTTCATTAGGACAGAAAAGAAGAAATCTGAACACAGAAAGTGTATAGAACTCTGGGAAAATGCATTCGAACTCATAAGTCTGCAGGTGCTAAAGCCCTGGGGTGGGAATGTGCTTGGGAACAGGGTATGCCTGGAATGGAATGAACAAGGCGAGAATGGTAGGCACTGAGGCCTGTGGCAGTCAGGACCTGCAGGACCAGCTCATCTGGGGCCTTGCAGGCTGTTTGGGAAACTTTGGCTTATGTAGAATTTGGAACACATGCAACCGTGCCAGCTTTGTGATAGGAGTTATTAACAGTGGACAGGAGGGACACACAGGAGCTGAGCTTTGAAATAAGAATCTAAACATTAAGAGGCAGAAGCATGTGGACCTTCGTGAGTTTGAGGCCAGCCTGGTCTACATAGCCAGTTCCAAGCCAACCAAGGCTATACACTGAGACCCTGTCTTAAAAAAGAAGAAATGAAGTCAAGCATGGTGTTTGCATGCCTTTAATCCCGGCACTTGGGAGGCAGAGGCAGGCAGAGCTCTGTGAGATTGAGGCCAACCTGGTCTACATGGTGAGTTACAGGCCAGCAGGGGAGGTGGGGAGAGAAGGAGGAGGAAGAGGAGGGAGGCAGGAAAGAGGGAAAGAAGAAAAAAGAGATAGGAAGAAGAATGAGGAGGGAGGGAGGAATGAGGGAAGGAAGGAAGAAAGAAAGAAAGAAAGAGGAAAGGGGAAAGGAAAGGAAAGGGGAAAGGAAGGGAAGGGGAAGGGAAGGGGGAAGGGGAAAGGAAAGGAAAGGAAAGGAAAGGAAAGGAAAGGAAAGGAAAGGAAAGGAAAGGAAAGGAAAGGAAAGGAAAGGAAAGGAGAGTCTCTCCATCAGTGGGAGCCCAGCATGGAGGCTGGCAAGTCCTACTTGGCTCCTCAGAAAGGATAGAGAAGTGGGGATGGGTGGGAATAAAGACCTGTAAATTGTGTCTGGACACAGCCTTGGTTCAAAGTGAGTTGGAGGAAGTAGTGGAGACTGAGGTTGTAATGGAGAGAAGCAGGCCAGGTTAGTTGACACTGGGTTGTGCAGCAGGCAGAGGATGGGGTGGGGGTGCTCTGGTTCCCTTGGTTCTCTGATGCTGGGAACTAGACTAGATGCAAAGCTCTGAAGCTGGGGGAGAGCCAACAGATGGGAATGACTGAAAGAATCTGTGTTAACTAAGTGCTAACCATGGAGCTGACCACACACTAAGAATGGTTTCAGGCTAACCACTTTCCCTGTCTGGGTTAGAGGCTTCCAGCCTCGTAAAGACCGAATAAATAACACAAGGACCAGGAAATATGGTGCCAAGAGGCATGAGGTGCCTTGACTGCCCTGAGGGTGCAGAGGTGCAATAATGGAAGATACCGTCCCCTCAGACCTGTCCCCCACCAAAGCAAGAACAAGTGAGGTGCCTGGAAAAGACTAGGAGCTCCAAATGGCCCAAAGCCTTGTTGGGAAGTCTGTAAGGGACACCTGACATTAGTAACAGTGTTGGAGCTGTGGCAGTTAAGAGCACAAATCCTGGCCATGCATGATGGTGTATGCCTATCATTCTAGCACTTGGGAGGTAGAGGCAGAGATCAGGAGTTCAAGGCCAGTCTGGGCTATGTAAGACCTTATCTCGATAACAACAAACAGCAGGAATCCCTCTTCTGCCCTTATCCTCAAGAGATGGAGGAGTCATCTTTTTCCTCAGAAGTCTGCCTGGGATCCACTCAGAGTTGATGAATCTTGCCGCTTGCCTGATGAAAACCCTCCCATGACCCCCGACTCCCCTTAGGATGAATTCATGCTCTGTGCATGGCTGCTGAGGCCTTTAGTGACACAGTCCTCCCAGGTTCCTCCACCTCACCTCAAGCCCCAACTCTTGCCTCCACTTCCACTGGGTGCTCAGTCATACCAAGCTGAATAGATTGCATTTCTAGTTTTCATTTTCCTCCTTTATTTTTGTTGAAACAGGACCTTATTATGTAGCCTGGGCTGACCTTGAACTCAAAATTCTCTTGCTTCTGCCTCCTAAGTGCTGAGATTACAGTATGTACTCTCATGACTATTTTCATCTCAAGCACGTTCCTCGGGCATGTCCACCTCTTCACCTGGCCAGATTCTACTCAAGTCTCCACCTAGACACACTGTTTGTGGGATGCTGCACCCTATGCTCCTACTTCTCCTGGAATACAAGCCCTTCTCTGAGCTCCCTTAGCCCCCTACCTCTTTCTTATCACCCACTATGAGGTCCTGGGATCTCCTTTGTGCTCAATAGAACCCCATGGACTACGTTTTTAGATTTTTAGCAACCTAAAGGAGAGGACATTTTTACCCAACCCTGAACACCCAGCACCTGGCACAAAGCAGGTACCCAGTTACAAAAGTGATGGATGGACTAGTAAGTGAAAGACTGAGCCAGCCTAACAGTGTTTCAAAAGAGAAGGCAATCATTTCTAGCTCAGCTTAACTGTAGGAAATTTTGTGTTTCCCAGTTTGTCTAGAAAGAGAAAAGTAGCTACTCTTGGAACAATGGCTTTCAGTATTGATTGCAATTTTGAATGACCTGGGCCTTTAAAAAAAAAAAAAAAGCATTGATGCCTTCCCCTCTCATCCTCCACCCTACCTCCACTTGACCCCTGCAAAGCTCTGTTTTAGCTGGTTTGGGGCATGGCCTGGGCCTGGGAACTTTAAATGCTTTCTAGGTAATCTGAGATGCAATCAAGGTCGATCATGGCTGCCAGGAACAAGTGCTCATACCTATAATCCCAGCATTTGGGAACTTCAGAGGCAGGAGGATTCTAAGTTCTAGACCAGCCTGGGCTACATAGTGAGATTCTGTTGTAGCCTCAAAAAAAAAAAAAAAAAAAAAAAAAAAAGTTGACCATGGACCTTTAAAATTGAAAGGGGCCCCCTTTTGCCCTTTCTTCCTACAGCTGCCCTCTTCCCCCCCAAGTTT